CCTTTATAAGCCCATTTGTCATTTTGAGTTTCTAACCACTTGATCCTGCTTCTCTTTTTTCTGTACTTTTTGAAATATATTCTTTAAAGACTGAGACACATTTCTGTGTATGTGCAGAATTCACTTCCTTGTCTATTACAGATTCTAATTTTTCACTGTCATTTTTTTCTCAAGATTTCCATCATTTCTATCTTACGAAGATGTTTGTTCTTATTGGTTCACAGTCCTGAATCTTGATTTTTCTCACTGTTTCATTCTGAAAAACAGAGCTTGTCAGAAGGCAATACAGAATTTATCAACAGAATATAATGAACAGGGATGTTCAAATAATTGACATCTCTTTCTTATTTCAGAACCAATTTTGTTCCTTCTCTTAAAAACATATCATCTATATCTTTGGTTTGGTGAGCAATTTGATTGTATGGCCATCAGTGTGATATTATTTTAATCATACTTTAACTATTCTTTGCTACATTTCATTCCTAGATCTATGGCTTCCTAGGCATGTGCATATTCTTGACAGACCATATTCTTTTCTCAGCTTATTTTCACTGGGCATTGTAGAATGTTTGTTGCCATGTGATCTAGTTTACCTTGTTTCAATAATGACTATACAATCATATTTACCACTGTTTTTAAGGCTGCAAACTCATTGATAATCACTCATCTTCAGACTTTGTATATTTCCTTATAGGCATCTAAGACCATGTGTATCTATCCATGGCTTTTTAAGCTATTTTCTCCTATATTTTTGTGTTGGTTATATTATCCCTTAGTATGAAATTTAAGAAAATATTTACTTTCTTGCTCCTTTGGATTTTTTTTTCTTTCCTTTGGATTTTTGAGAAAGAAGCTTTACATGCTGGATCTCCCCTGTCTTCACATTTCCTCTCTTTAAAAAAATGTTATTTAAAAATTTGTTTGGGTACATAATATATGTACATATTTTTAGAGTACATGTCCTTATTTTACATATTTATATAATGTATAAAGATTAAATCAGGATAATTGAAATATTCATCACCTTGAATATTTATCTTTTCTTTATGCTAGAAACTTTCAAATGATTCTCTTCCAGCTATTTTGAAAGGTACAGAAGATTATTAACTATGGTGACCCTGCTGATCTGTTGAACACTAGGACTTAGTCACCTCTCCTCTTCACCTTACTCATTCTTTGGGTTAAACTAGCAGCCAGAGCACGACTGCATCTAACTTATAACTTTCTCTGTTATTGCTCATTGCCTCCTTCTTTTTCTCCAGCATTACACAGCTTTTTGCTATTTCGGGTGTTTCTCATGATTCGAGACATTATTGCTTGTTGTTGTCTGCTTTTTATTTTTTGGCAAAAGAAGAATGTTCCTTCTAAACTTTTTTGAAAGTTAAAATGACTCAGGAAGAAAATCTGGACTGTGAGTCTTCTTTTTCCTTCCTCAACAGCCTTCTCTTTGTATCACACACAGAGTTTTGCAGGTGTGCAGCATTTTTCACTAACAACTTTTAGGGGTGGGCCCATTTTTGTGTCTATAACGGATTGAGGTTGTCACTAAAATAAAATAAAAATGAGAACATTATTGCCTTGCAGCTCCTCTGTTCCCTTACCTGAGATATAAATAATATTTGCCAAGTAAATACAGAAGCATCGCCACCAAGGGATGAATTCTTATTCCTCTCCAAGCTTTAAAATAAAACTTTTTCAGAGTTATCAAGTAGAGGGGGTGCAGGGCAGAGAGAGGAATCTTTTAATATAAAGTTTAAATCTATAACGATTACATTTCCTTACCTCTATTCTCCTGTTAATGACTAAAGACAAGTACCAATTAGAGAAACCTCAAGTGTCTGGCTTTTTAGTTGTACCAGGTGGTGCTGCCTGAGAACTATTCAGAGTGCCAGGTAGAAGTCTGGGTTGTTCATAGCTACCTTTCTTTCATCCTCATCTTTTCTGAGGGCACTTACATCTGCCCGTTGCTTTGCCCTGAGGCTTTTTCTTTTTCCTTTGTCCTCTGTCTTACCCACTTCTAATTTTCGGAGGTACATTCTGCCATCTTTAGTGAGGGCTCTTGAGATCTTTTATTTTCACTTTTTCCCTAACGAGCTCATTATATTCATTGTTTTGTTTTTAGATTTCCTTTGACTCTCACATTATTAACTGATCTCACTAGACTTTGTAATACTCCCAATGCGTCTTTATTGTTCTTTCTCAAGATCACACAAAACCAGCACAGAAGTCGTTGATTTTTTTCAATAGCTAGCATTAAGATAGTTCTGCATCTTCAGTATTTTTTAAAATTAACTTTTAAACTCTTTTACAGATTGTCTGGAAACATATGCTATCTTCTTTTGGTTTGTACTTTAAGTATTTTCTTTCTTTGCCATTAACTCTGCTAACTAACTCTGAGAGAGCCTTATTCTTTTATAGACATTTTCAATACCATTGAGTGCTGATATTATTTTGACAAATGCTGCACATGAACTTTCTTCAATATGAAAATTATTAATATTAGGATGATAAAGCATGGAACTGATTATGTTTATCCAGATTCTTGCTTATCATTCCTGCTTTTACCAGGACGTGTTCATTCTCTCTATTTGTTGGGAAAATTATGCTGTAATTTCCCATGGAAATGAAGCTTTGACTTGATTTGATTTTTGTTGAAACTTCCTTTGGTGGAACCAGAAGAAAATAGAGACTGGTTACCCTCCGTGTTTCTGGTTTGCATGAGGAGTACTGCTTTATTTTTATTTTATTTTTTAAATGTTCCTTGCTATAATAGAGGGTGAAGTAGGAGAACCAATTAGGAAGCTGCTGTAATAACTCAAGCAAAACATCTGAGGGTCTGACCTTCTGGAGCAGGATTAGGTGTGGAGAACAATTCACATTATGAGCTTCAAAGACAAGGAAAGGGTTTCCTTAGTGAACTTCATGAAGTTGGGACTGCTTTTAGAGTTTAGAAACTTCAAGGATTTTTTTTTAGAATTTCAATTTCCTTTTTAGCATGTTCTCATTGATACATGTCTAACTACTAATTGTGGGATTCATCACATGGTTCACTTATGTATTGCCTAGTTTTGAAAACATGGTGTCTATTGGATCTTTTGAAAATATGTAACATTTGTAGTTTTTCCCCACCTTGATTATAAAAAAGCAAAACAAAAGTAAAAGTGAAACAAAAGTAACTTGTACTATCACAAAGAGATAAAAATTATTAGCATTTCAATGTGTTTTATCTTTTGTAGGTATAGAAATGTACATGTCTGTAAATACTTACTTATGTAAAAATCTTTCATTTTTATGAAGCATTAAGTTATGAGATGTTGTTAAGTATTGTGAGAGCATAATATTGATTTACCATGTGTATACACCATATTTATTTTCCCATTTTCCTGAGGTTGACCATTTAGGTTGTTTTCAATTCAATAGATACAGTGGGTTGATATTTTCATATATTGTATATAATAACTCTTCATATTTATCTTCAGGATAATAGATTAACGTATAAACACAGTTTTAAAGTAAAGTACTTCTTTTAAGGCTTGAATTGAATATATGTAAAGACATGAATTGAGCCCTAATGGCTGAAAATTCCATTAGGAATTCCATTGGCATCAACAGTGTTTAGCTGCTCTGCACTTCACACCTGTACCTCCCCTTTTCCTGGTCACTGTCTCAGATAGAGAATATTGGAGCACAGAGACGTTTGGAGGGAAGACAGAGTACAGTGTTAAGTGTCTCCCTCAAACTCCTCCCCAGATTCAGCTCTACCGAGTAGTTCACCTCAGATGCTTGCATGTTTACTGACTATTCCTTGGGATTTTTAAAATAGATTTTTGGTCAAGATTCTTTTGTGTATCAAAGAAGATGGCTTTTATCTACCACGATCTGGCCTTTTTCAGCTATTTGAGGGCATTGCACAATAATTAAAATGTCTCCTATAATTCCCTGGTATCCTTTCACTGTAGGAGGAGCCTGGTGAGGGCATGTCATAGTAATACAGCATAAGGAGGGCTATTTCTTCTGGAGAGTTCAATACTGCTCTCCTTGTGTAAGTCAGTTCATGTAAGCAAATAATTATTTGTTTTAGATATGTTATCTATTAAGCTGAGTAGTCACTTACAATGTAAAGATATGGATGTGTGTATGTGTGAGTGTGTTTGGCACCAAAAAGCTAATTCTTTGACAACAACAATGTCGAGTTTAGTTTTACTTCAACTTTGTCAGAGTGATTTCTTATGTGGGTATTAAAAAAAACTATATTTTGAAAAGGAATTCTAAAATAGACTAATTTGGGGACATACTACGTTGCTATAAAATGCCCTTATTCCCTGTGAATAACTTTACTTCTAATTAAATAAAGTATTTCTAGTTATTAGTTCGTATTTCCATTTTGAAATTGCCATATTGAAATTAATTATCTGTCGTTAAGTAAATTATATCAGCAATTACAGTTCTATCATGAATAGGAAGCTAACAACAGGGATAATTAAAAACTGTTACAAATAGCATTTGTGTCTATGTTTAAAAAACTCTTCAATTGGCCAGGCAGATGTTGTTATAGATTTTTGTCTTTGATATGATAAATTTACCATTAATTTTTAAAATCTTTGTTTAAGAAATGTGCTTTCAAGTTTTGCATAGTTGAGCTGCAATTTGTGAAAGTTCAAGCAGCTGTACTGACAAGCCATTTGTCAAATTTGTAACAGATTCTTTTAAGCAAAGACTAAATTCTGGAGCCTTATATTTTTTATTTTATGTTTAGGCACAATCTGTTTGAATTTCTTCTCTTTTGTGGGTCCAGAAGATATTATATACATTATACATTCACACACAGATGCACATATATGCATAGATACATGTGCATATTCTCCCATATGTATGTATATTTACATCGTGTATCCAACCTAAGTTGTAGGCAAAATGCATATAGTTTGCTTCTTTTTAATTAATAAAAAGTTTAGTTTAAACTTTCACTATCTAATTTTTAAAAATTTCTCTTTATCTAGGTAGAAGAAATTGTAGATATTGGATCATTTGCTCCAGAAGACATCCATATTCCTCAGATTTATGTACATCGCCTTATAAAGGGAGAAAAATATGAGAAAAGAATTGAGGTAATTGATTTGACTTCTTTGTTGATATTTATGAATCTGATTACCAGAGATATCCCTGGAGCCATTCCAGATGATAGGGAATTGGAACAAAGCAGGAAGTCTGGTTTTAGATCCAAATAGGAGCTTCTCTTTCGTTCTTGAAAGTGCCACTGTTCAGCCAAACAGTGCCTTGTCTTCACAAGGTTTTATCATTATTTTGTGATTCTCTAGTCTGTGTCTACCAGTCTTCTGTAACTCTCCTAACTTATGATACACAGTTTTGCTGGATGTCTTAGAGAGTAGAGAAGAAATAATCAGGTCTTTGGTGACTTAACCCTTCCTGAAGTCTTAATGGTTGATTTTTCACAAATATCACAATCTATCTTGAAGTTACTTTGCACTTTTATAGAGTACAGAAATAACATAATTTCCAATTAGTTTTGTGCTGTAGGCAACTGGTGGGTTTGAGATTGTGTCAAGGAGTGGATACCAGGAGTATTAGAGGTATTCTAAATCCAGTGAGAGCATAGAGATTGGCCAGCTGGCCAGAGATATCAAGATATCAAGATTCAGACAGGTCTAGGGATCAGCAATGGAATAGACATAAAGTAGGGCATATCAAAACACCAGAGATAACTACTACTTTATCAGTCATCAAGCAGAATGACTTTTGCACTTCAAATCTAGAGTAAGGGGCCTCTCACAGAGTTGGGATGGGACCTTGGCTAGCAGGAACCAGAGTTTGTGTTGAGGAGATTTAGGAAAGGAAATAGTTTTCTGGTTGATTTCTGGGGATTTCTATGATTCCTTTGATGCACTTATAGCAAAACTAGTCTAGACTCTGCAGGTGAAAATAGGCAGTTGGCATAAGTGAGGCCTGGTAAACACATTCTGATAGCCCTGAAAAATAGATTCACAAGGTTTGTTTCTTTTTCTTTCTTTTGATCAATCCCTGAGCCCCTGAGGATAATTTAGTTGCAAGAGTCTTAAGAGTAACAGTAATAGTAGTCAGTGTGAGAGTAACAGTGATATTATTTGCTTCAAATAGACATAGCAGCATATCTTCCCTTCAAAGAAATCTGACCACTTTCATTTACTTCTCAAAAATTTTTTTCTGTCATCAAATGTCACCCATGTTATTCACTTTTTAAACTCTAAGGTGTATTGCAGATTTGTCTCAGAGTAGTGGGAGAGAGCTAATTCTTTTTTTCTAGTAAAATTTTATGTATCACCAGTGATGAAATATAAAACATAATTTCAACCATGAATAATTTTTTTCTGTTTAATTTAAAGCGCTTATCAATCCGGAAAGAGGGAGATGGAAAAGCCAAGTCTACTAAACCTGGAGATAATGTAAGGGAACGCATCATCAAGCGGGCAGCTCTTGAGTTCGAGGATGGCATGTATGGTATCCTTTATCCTTCTGAGACTAGACCAAGATATAGCTCTTGCTTTTCCCATATTTATCAAACCACTAGGTCTCCTTTATTTCTGTCCTTGGTAACTTCTAAAGCAATTAATCAATTTTTTTTACAAAATGTGCATAAAACCCAAATATATCAAGATTTATGAATTTGGGATGCTAAACTATTTGCTTCCTTAAAACAAAATGGCAACCCCCAATTTACTTAGTATTTTCTAACATATAATGGAATTCTATATAATTTTGCATTTAACTAGAGATTATTGGGAAAAAAGATTACCCAAGATGAGAGTTTTCAAGCCCCAGAATTCCTAGATAACCAGTGTTGTTTACTTTCTCTGTATTCTGGTATTTGCATACTCATTGCTACATAAGATCCAACCTCTTAACAACTCTTTCGTCTTTTTTTTTTTTTTTTTTTTTTTTGAGTTGGAGTCTCACTCTGTCGCCCAGACTGGAGTGCAGTGACCGCTCCTGGCCACCACAGCCTCGACCTGCTGGGCTCCGGCGATCCTTCCGCCTCAGCCTTCCAAGTAGCTGGAACTACAGGCACGTGCTACCATGCCTGGTTAATTTTTTGATTTATTGTAGAGATGAGGTCTCGCCTGCCTAGGCAGGTCTCGAACCTGCGGGCTCAGGCAGTCCACTCACCTCAGCCTCAAAGGCGCGGGATTACAGGCTGAGCCATCGAGCCTGGCAACTCCTTCATCTTTTGACAAGACCCCATGAGTATACTTCTATGTGTAATGTTTTGTAAGAGTATTCAGTGAATGATTCAAATTCTGCTTTACTTTGTCAAAAACAAAAAAAGGAGGTCATGCTTTTTCTCACATCACAGTGCAATAAAAATAAATATCACCACCAACAATATCCCCCCAAAACACACAAAGACACGGACACTAAACAACATGCCACTGAATGACTTCTGGGTCAACACAGAAATCAAGACAGAAATAAAATGATTCCTGGAAACAAACAAAAACAAAGAAAAAACAAAACCGCATCAGAATCTCTGGGATGCCAGAAAAGCAGTGTTAAGAGGAAAGTTCATAGCGTTGCATTTTTGAAAATAGAAAGATCTCAAGTAAACAGCCTAGCATCACACCTAAGGGAGTTGGAAAGGCATGATCATCTAAATTCTAATTTCAGTAGAAAAATCCAAATCACGAAGATAAAGTCACAATTGCACGATATAGAAGACAAAAATATCATAGAAAAGATTAACAATACAAAAAGCTGATTCTTTGAAAGTTAGATTGATGGACCCTTAGCCAAATTAACGAAAAGAGAGAGAGAGAGAGAGAGAGAGAGAGAGAGAGAGAGAGAGAGAGAGAAGTCCAAATAAACACAATTAGAAATGAAAAAGATGATGTCACAACTGACTCTGAAGAAATTATAAAGATTATCAGATTACAGTCTTTCCTTTTTGAGTCTTGCCTTTCTGGTACAAAACTTTTCTTTGGTATGAAACTTTCCTCTGGTACAAAACTTGGCCTTTCTGGTACAAAACGTTTGCTAGTCTTTTGTTTCCTCTCTTCTTTCTCTAATAAACTTTTTTAAAAAAAGGATTATCAGAGATTACTGTAAGCATTTGTTTGCAAAAGAAACTAGAAAATCTAAATGAATTGAAGGCTTTTCTGGTATCGCAAAACCTCCCAATGTTGAAACAACAAGAAATCAAAACTCTAAACTGACCAGGCAGAGCTTATTCAACATTTGAAAGATTATAAACATAATTCAGTGCATTAACAGATGTGAAACCAAGAACTACACAATTATCTCATTAGCTGGAGAAGCATTTGACAAAAGTCAGTATCCCTTCTTAATAAAAACTCTAACACCTAGGCATAGAAGGAAGATTCCTCAAGACAATAAGAGCTATCTATGATAAACTAACAGCCAACATTTTGCTCAATGGGTAGAAGCTGCAAGCATTCTCCCTAAGAAATGAAACAAGACAAGGATGCCTATTCTCATACCTATTCATCATAGTACTGGAAGTCCTAGCCAAAGAATCAAGCAAGAGAAGGAAATCAGGAGTATCCAATTAAAAATAGAGAAAGTTGAGCTATCCCTCTTTGTGGACGATATGATTCTACACTTAGAAAACCCCAGGAAGTTTGTCAAAAGCCTCCTTGCACTGATAAGTGATGTTGGTCAAGTCTCGGGTTACAAAATCTTCATACAAAAGTCTGATGCATTTATATTTATCAACAAATAGCAGGTGGAGAACCAAATTAAAAACACAATCCCATTCACAAGAGTCACACACAAAAAACAAATACCTTGGCATCCACCTAACCAGAGAGGGAGAAACCTTTACCACAAGAACTACAAAACACTGCTCAAAGAAATCAAGGATGACACAAACAAATGGGAAAACATTCCATGCTCATGGATTGGAAGAATCAGTATTGTCAAGGTGTCCATTCTAACCAAGGCAATCTACAGATTCATTGCAATATCTATCAAGTTACCAGCATCATTTTTCAAAGACCTGGAAACAACAATACAAAAATTCATATGGAAACAAAAAAAGAGGACAAATAGCCAAAAAAACCTCAGCAGAAGGAACAAAGTGGGAGGTATCATACTCCAGATTTTATTACAAGACTGCAGTAACCAAGATGGCATGATTTTGGTGTAGGAATAGGCACATGGACCAATGGAGCAGGATACAGATTCTGGAAGTAAAAATATGGTGTCTCAACCAACTCATCTTTGACAAAGCCATCAATAACAATCATTGGGGAAAGGAGACCATATCTAGCAAATGGTGCTGAAAAAACTATGTGCAGAAGAATGAAAGTGGATCCCTACCTATTACCCTATACAAAAATCAACTCAAAATGGATCAAGGATCTAAACATAAAACCACAAACTACATGACTCCTAGAAGAAAACATAGGGAACATTCTGAGCATCAGAATGGGCAATGAATTCATGATCAGGTTCCCAAAAGCAAATGCTACAAAAACTAGGATAGACAGATGGGACCTCATCAAACTGAAAAGCTTTTGCGCAGCAAAAGAAACCATCAAGAGAATAAAGACAGCCCACAGAATGAGAAAAAATATCTGCAAATTATGCATTGGACAAAGGCCTTAAATCTAGGATCTACAAGGAACACAAATGAAGTGAAAGGAACAACAAGCAACTCCATTAAAAAGTGGTCAAAGGACATGAACAGACACTTCTCAAACGATAACATACAAGTAGCCAACAGTCACATGAAAAAATGCTCAGCCTCACTAATCAGCAGATAAGTGCAAATCAAAACTACAATGAGATACCACCTAACACTGGTAAGGATGGGTATCATTAATAAGTCAAAAAACAACAGGTGTTTATTTGCCTGCAGAGAAAAGGCAATGCTTGTACACTGTTGGTGAGACTGTAAGCTAGTCAACCTCTATGGAAAGCAATGTGGTGATTCCTAAAAGAATTAAAAATTGATCTTCCATATGATCTAGCAGTCTCTCTTCTGGGAATACACCCATAGGAACATAAATTGCTCTACCAAAAAAAAAATACCTGTACACACATGTTTATTGCCGCACTATTCATAGTAGCAAAAATATGGAACCAACCCATCAAAAGTGGACTGTATGAAGAAAATGTGGTGCATATACACGATATGGTATTACACAGCCATAAAGAAGAATAGAGTCATGGCCTTCACAACAACTGGGGTGCAATTGGAGACCATTATACTACCTAAACTATCACAGAATCAAAGAACTGAATACCGCATGTTCTAATTCATAAATGGACTCTGACTACCAGTCACATTAGCACAAGGATGGGATTGGCAGTTGCTGGGCACTGCTTGGGGACGGAGGGAATTGGGAGGGTGGGGGACATGTGACAACACAAAGGGTCCACTACCACGGGGAGTAAGGACCGACTAGAAGCCAAAACTTCACCTGCATGCAGCCTATTTATGTAGTTAAATCCTCACCAGTACCCCACAACTCTATAATAAATTTTTTAAAAATGCTCTGCAACATTCACTTGAAAACATCAGTCAAGAGACCACAATTCTCTGTTTTATTTTTCCATACCAGCAATATCTAACACAATTTTAGTGTGTATGTGTCTGAAGATATTAATAAAAAGTTACTGCACTATAAAAAAAGGTAGGGTAGACATAATTTATTATAATTAATATTTGGATTTTGAACACATTTAAATAACAGTGCATCTGTTCACCAACTTTCTAGTTTTCAATACATCAGATATTGAACTATATAAGTAATATACCCAATAGCATAAGATAAAATAAATATTTGTTGAGTGATGGATATAGTAAAGCCATACTTAAAGACTTAGGGCAGGAAGAATTAGAAACATGACAAGTGTCTCCATTCTATAAGCTTCCCTAATTTATAAATATCAGTCCTTCAGACTGTGATCTTCACTGGGAAAACTTTTTTTCTTTCTTTTTAACTCCAACTTATTTAAATAAAATTTCAGTTTATACCTTGTGTTATGGTGTGAGTTCACATGGTGGAAAAGAATATCATGTTGTCTCCCTTCCAGCTCTTCACCAAGATAGGGAATCAACCAAGTTGATGTAGGGGTGAAAGTTAATCACTAGTCTTTCTTCTCACCCTCAGTCATTTGCCTTACCATTAATATTTCAACACTCACTATAATATTGATTTTTAGATAATGACTTCAAGGTGTCATTTATTCACTGTTATTGTATTGCCTATATAAAGTATTTGCAAGTCAGTTCATATCAAAGGCCTTTCCATATTACTTACTCATTTTCAACCCAAATTACACAGACTTTCTTCTCCTTGTATTTGAGTTACTCAAAAGTATTAAAGAACTGAGAAAATGGTGGACTATGATGAAAAAAGTTGAAGCATACAGTTTGTCATTTGGGTTGCTCTAACTTAAAAATAAGTGCTCAGAATGGAATTAAATATCTCAGCTCATTTCTGTATGATTATGAGAAATGAAGTACAATAAAACTGTACTGGACTGATTTGCTAAGAGGTGAACCAGGTAGCTGTCATCATAGCTTCATACACATAGACTGTACTCACAAGAGGTAACTTGAGTCATTGAGTTGTCCTGCTGACTTTTGTAGTTATAATATGGCACCATATGACCTCTATTTTTTCTGGCCTTGATACATAATGATTTCACTGTTATTAAAATCTCGTCAGGATCCCATCACTGATTGTGCTAATTCTGGTGAGGTCTTTGGTGTGCAGTAGTGGCAGTAGTTTCAGGCAGTGTGAGTATCTCTGATCTGCTCAGCCTGTTGTGTCTGAGAGGTAGGATTGAACCCATACCATTGCAAAGAATTGGGGTTGACACTGTTTTGATCATCTAAGGAAGAGGATTCAACACCTTCAGCTGGCCTTAACATAGCTACTTTATATGTCACTTTAACTGTATTTGCTGAAATGCATTCCCTTCCCCTCCTTCCTTTTGTCTCAGAGAAAATTCAGTTATGAGTGAATTACCACAGAGAACCAAAGGAGTTGACTTTTAGGTAGATCGTTTTGTTGGAAAACTTTTTAAAATTTAAAAATAGTAGTCCCAGTTATTTAATAAAGATGACAAATATTAATTCATCTTTTAGCCAGAGTTTTGAATAGTGAAAATCATTTTTTAAACAAAAGTCAAGCCATGTCTAATAATGTCAGTCATAATACATGAATCCAGATTTGCTGAGCACATTAATGAAACTTTTTGTTAAAATGATCTCTTGACCAGCTTCTGAAGCTACTACTTTGATATCTTTGTGGTAAAGCATATTAATGTTACTGAAAAAGCTGTGACTTAATTAGACTTTCCTTTTGAAAAATTATAAAATAGTGCCCAGTGGGTGATTGGAATAATATATTCAGTTACTACATTCAGTGAAAATTTCCTTTAAGGATTCTGTTCAGATTTATGTATGTAGAAGGTGTATGGTATAATCTCTCTACCTTTTGTATGCTGGACCTTAACATCCTTTTTTTCCAGCTAATTTGGGCATAGGAATTCCTCTTCTGGCCAGCAACTTTATCAGCCCAAATATGACTGTTCATCTTCAAAGTGAAAATGGAGTCCTGGGTTTGGTAAGATGGAAATTAAAGGTTTTCTTTATCCAGTCTTGATGGAGAATGAGATATTTCACCTAGTGAAATCTTCTTCTGATCACAGAGTGTTAGCTTAAAGTTTTCAATCTTATTTTTCATCATCTTAAAATATTTAACATTTTCTTTAAAATGATGTTAATTGTTAGCATGTAGTATTGTATATTACATAGTTGCTAGTAGTTTTAGATTCTGGGTTTCTTGAGTGTTCTTCCTTGTCATTCTGTTAGCTTGCATCTTCCATATCGTTCCTGTTTTGGAGAGACCTCATGGTTTCCTGTTTAACTATTTCTCTCTCTTCTGTGGTTAAACAAGATAATGAAGGTTGTTAACAATACTATGGTAAATAAAATTCAGTAAACTTCTGAATGGTTACTTTAAAAAGCCTTAAAAATTCTTATCTGATACTCTTTTTTGAGGCCATATTGTCCAAAAAGTAGAATTTTCTCTTACTCAAGACTAACCTTTCAGATGAGCTCAATCTTCTGCAATTAGGCCACATTTTAAATTCAATATTATAATAAAATTAAGACATATTTTACTTCCTAGATGACATTTTTATTTTCATTATTAACTATGGCAGAGATTACTTATGGTTTGTCAATTTTATAATATTCTTAATCATTTATTATTTCTCAGTACATCTTAACTGTTAATCCAATATAAGTTATATACATAGAAAATGTATATCCAGCATTTAAAATATAAATAGTCATGGACATAATAGTCAATACTGACTGAGGCAATAATCATGACATTTTCAAAGACACAAAAATGATATGTATCTGGATAAAAGCAGATTCATATTGAAATCAAATATTTGCATTTTAGGGTACTTTAGAGATTATCTAGAGTGACTAACTCTCATTTTGAAGACAAGGGAAATAAGTTTATGTAAATGATACATAACAATGTTTCAAGTAAAATGTACATAGGTCTGAAACATTAGTTGCTATTTTATTTATAGAATAAATTTTTGGTTACTCTTTCGAACGTATATAAAAATTTCACAGTCAGTGTATCCTCGTTCCTGATTCCATTTTACTCCTTTTTCTTTTTCCTCCCTTTTCCCTTAATATGTTATACTTTTATTTTTATTTTTATTTATTTATTTATTTATTTATTTATTTATTTATTTATTTATTTCTGAGTTGGAGTCTCACTCCGTCGCCCAGACTAGAGTGCAGTGGCTGCTCCCGGCCACCGCAACCTTGACCTGCTGGGCTCTGGCGATCCTTCCACCTCAGCCTTCCAAGTAGCTGGAACTACCGGCGCGCGCTACCATGCCCGGCTAATTTTTGATTTATTGTAGAGATGAGGTCTCGCCAAGTTGCCCAGGTGGGTCTCGAACCCGCGGGCTCAGGCAATCCACTCACCTCAGCCTCCCAAAGGCGCGGGATTACAGGCTGAGTCACCGAGCCCAGCTAATATATTATATTTTTAAACTACATACCCCATTCAAATAACTGGAGTTACCGGGCTCGGTGACTCAGCCTGTAATCCCACGCTTTGGGAGGCCGAGGTGAGTGGATTACCTGAGCCTGCGGGCTCGAGACCCACCTGGACAACTTGGCGAAACCTCATCTCTACAATAAATCAAAAAAATTGCCGGGCATGGTAGCATGCGCCTGTAGTTCCAGCTATTTGGAAGGCTGAGGTGGACGGATCGCCGGAGCCCAGCAGGTCAAGGCTGCGGTGGCCAGGAGAATGCCACTGCACTCCAGTCTGGACAGCAGAGTGAGACTGCAACTCAAAAAAAAACAACCAAATAACTAGCGTTGACTTAAAAAATATATGCAAAACCAAAAACAAAAACAAAAACAAAAAAACACTGAGAATAACTGGGCAAAGGGAACATAACGATATAAGTATTTAAAACTTTATGTGTAGTGAGAAGCAAGACTCCAGATTCAGACCTTTATGTCTTGCACATCAGAAAACTGAAACTTTGCCTCTCCAGGTCCTTCTAGCCAAATAATGCGATAGTTTATCTTCATTGGTCCTACCAAAAAGGTTTTGAATAACAGTGGTACATAGTAGGTATTAAATAATTTCTTTTTGTTTTATTGACCTATATTTCTTTTTTTTTTTTTTTTTTTGAGTTGGAGTCTCACTGTGTCACCCAGACTGGAGTGCAGTGGCTGCTCCCGGCCACCGCAGCCTCAACCTGCTGGGCTCCGGCGATCCTTCCGCCTCAGCCTTCTGAGTAGCCGGAATTACAGGCATGCACTACCATGCCCGGCTGATTTTTTGATTTATTGTAGAGATGAGGTCTTGCTGCCCAGGCGGATCTCGAACCCGCGGGCTCAGGCAATCCACTCACCTCAGCCTCCCAAGGGCGCGGGATTACAGGCTGAGCCACCGAGCCCGGCTGACCTATATTTCTAATAACCTAACATTTTGTAGTAAGTACTAAATAATTACTTTTTGTTTTATTGACCTATATCTCCAATAGCATAGCATTTTTGTCAAGCAGGTAATGTTTAGAAAATTTTTTCATTTTCCCGATCACAACTATTAGTGCACAGAAGACTAATTAATATGAGAAACAGAGCTGAAACTAGGGCTTATAGAGAAGCCATTTACATTACAGTTTAATATATAATTCAGTGAGAATCTTCTCTTGTTAATTGAATATATGTTATATTTGACAGGGTCCATATCCATTGCAACATGAAGCTGATGCAGATCTAATCAATGCAGGTAAACTTAGTTATTACAAATTGGTTTTGGCATTTTTCTTTGCTATTAATTTAGTTCTGTGCCAACAATAGTCAGAATTTAGACTCAATTCTTTGTCTTTTCCTGGAGAGTACTACACAGTATTTATTGTTGGGGAGAGGAGATAAGCCTTTCTAGACCTTCTATGAGGTCTCTTCTCATTTGGGAATGACTAAGAAAAAGAGAAAATGCAGGTGGAGTTACATTTAATGGAAGAACTTTGATGGGTCCTGCCTATAAACAGGGTACACTCTCAAATGGGGCAATTGAGAGTTAATGGAAGGGACAACTTATAAGGGTACAGACAGGGTAAAATCTCACAGGGTATTATTATCACCCCTGGGCCTTGAGGACACAGCGGTAGGAGAAGGCCTTTAAGGGGAACACAGCTGACTTTCAGCAGACTGGTTGGGTGAGGGTCTCCTCTGTTGGGTCTCTTGCCTATGCCTCCAATTTGCCGATCCCAAGTCAAAATAGGTCAGCTTTCTGAAGATGAAAAAGGATGGTAACGGATCCAAAGCAGCAGAAATAAAAGATCTAGCCCCTTGGTATTTTTGTTGTCGGTGATGCTTACTGTCCTCTAATCCTCATTGGAGCAGAAATGCATCTTCCAAAAGTACCAGGGTGATTAAGAAGGCACTCTGCCACTCAGTACAACCTAGTGGGAACATAAGCCTTGTCTTCTCCTTTATTCCCACACTCATCTATATTGCCTGTTATTATAACATTTTCTTCAACTCAGATTTAGAGTCACATAGATTTGCAGCCTAGAGAAGGAAGAGCAGGTCGGGCCTTTTGGCCATGATCACTGCCTGTGCTTGAGGCAACACTGCCATTATGTTGGGGCTGGTGGTCAACCTTGGAATGGAACTGTCTACTAGAAGCTATTTTTTTAGGTTCTGGCATGATTTTCTGTGCCCTTATTTATCCTACCCCCACAAAAGTATTACTTTGCAGTCAAAAATAGTATGTGTAAGTCTCAGAAGAGAAGTAATATGAGCTGAACATAAAGGCCAACTGCCAAGTAGAATTGATGTTTGATACTTAGAATTTTTGAAAGTAAAACACCTTCTGGTTGAATAGTTGAATTAGTTAACACGACTCAACTCTGAAAGGCCCACTGTGATACAGCAGTGACATTTAGCCAAGGCTGTAATTTGATAGTACCATACCCTTTAGCAATAACTCATTGATCTGTGAAAATATTTGCTGCTTGGTTTAATTAATTTATGATGTTAGTGAGTTATTTGCAAAATGAATAACTCCATTTTCCAAATTTCAGGCTTGAATTCATAAAACCTACTTTCCATGTAAAAGTAGCTAATCTTTTCAATGTAGTTGGACAGTAGGCGCTTCTGAGTCCATTGAGCTTAAAAATAGCTCAGTCCTAATGAAGCCACCAGTTTTCTATTTCAACTTCTGAAATATCATACAGAATCTTAAACTGCTTTGTAAAACAAGAATTCATTGCTTATGGGAAGCCAAGCTCCAAATTAGTTTGATAATATTTTAACTCATCAAAGACCTTTTTGGAATTTTTTGATGCTTTTGAATTTAGAGCTATCTAAATTAGGAAGGAAATACTTTGAGCTAGAGAACCTAGAATATAAATATGAATTTCAGTTCCCCAAATTGCCTAGAAATTACCTGGAAATTCAGCTTCTTATTTGTGTTAATTTGAGAGAATTTTAATGGAAATCCCTTTGATTGAATACAAAGTTATGTTTCTGGATATAATTGGTATATTAAAATTTCAAAATAATAATGGGACTCTTTCCAAGAATCTCCTTTTAAAATAATAGTCTCATAAGACTATGTAAAAATGAATTGCCACTTGTACAGCACTATTTGACTTAGAACATACTCTTCACATGTATTATACCATTTAAGGCTCAAATGAAACTTTGTTATACAGATTGGGAAACAGATTTAGAATATGAAGTTACGTGTTCAAGATAACATTACTGGAGTTGAACTCACACACAGTCTCCTGCTTCTGAGCCCTGCCCTTTTTTCTTTCTACACTGAGCTATATCTACTGATAACTGATTTTTATAGACGTGCAGATAGTAGCACTCGGAACATTTCAGAGGTCCTATGAAGAGATCTGGGCTCTAGCCTGCAGTAATCTGATGAAGTTATAAAATTTCTAATAAGGCCCCCCTTTTTTTCTTTTATATAAATGTGCATTTTGCATTCTTAATGTTTTCTTATTTTAATATACCAATAATGTTTGAAATGATTTACCTTTGATTAAAATTGCTTTAGGAAGAATCATCTTATTAATCTCATGGGTGCTAAATAACCCTTGCCTCCCCCCGCCCCCGCCATGTTCTCTCTTACAGTAGTGATTTTCAATAGATTGGGGCAGGGTGTGATTTTACTCCCAGGGGACATTTTTTATTGTGTGACTTACATCTAGTGGATAGAGGCCAGGGATGCTGCCAAACGTCTTACAGCAACCAGAACAGCCCCTCACAAAGAGTTATCCAGCCCCAAAGGTCAATAGTGCTGAGGTGGAGAAACCCTACTCTAGAGGACTATGTACTGCATCTGAAGAATCACAGGCACCCTGCTCTAGAGGTATATATTTTACATCTGAAGAATCACAGGCCTGAAGTCTAAAGTACAAATAGCACAGCATTCCATATCTCTCTGATGGTTGCAACCAACCTTTCTGGCTTTACCTTTTACTGAAACATACAAGGGTGCTGTTGCCTACCCACACTGGACTGCTGTGTGTATTTCAATTATGGCTCATTCTTTCCTTTCTGCATACCTTTGCTCTTACTGTGCCTTTCACCAGATTTTTGTTCTGTCCCCTTTCTTTTTTATCTCCATCTCCCTACAGGTAATTTCCTATCAAAAATGCATTAGACTAGTCCTTCAAGTCCCATCTCATTTGTCCTGTCCAAATTCATCTACAGCTCAGAAAGGACCTTGCCTTGAATCTACAACATATCTAGTATCTCTCTCATAAGCATACCATATTTTGTCTTGTAATTATTTGTCTTTGTATATCTCCCTTGCTGGGTAGTAAGTTCCTTTTGCTTATGACAGTGCTTCTCAAAGAGTGGTCCCCGCAGCCAAAGCATTGGTATCACTGAGGATGTTCTAGAAAGGCACTTCTCAGGCCCCACCACATATTTACTGAATTAGAAACTCCAGGAGTTGTGTGTTGCAATTTGCATTTTTATAAGCCCCCCCCATGTGATTCTGATGAATGTTTGAGAATCACTAGTTTAGGACAAATGAATTTTGTTTATAACACTGTTTAAGGCATATAATAGACACTTAGCATTGAGTGAATGACCTGTTAAATCATGAGCCAAAGGATTCAGTGCTTATGAAATTGATTGCTGTTGCCCAAGTATCATGAAAAGATTCGGATTACACATAGAAAAATCAGAGAAGACAAACAATAGGAATAGCCAAATAAGAAACCCCTCTTTCTTTATGTTGCTTGTCTTATTTATTATAGTTATATGATTTTTCTTGACCAAATTTGGACATTTTATTTGAAAAGCATGGGTTCAACTTTAAGATACTTATTTTGTTTATATATTGGATATTTTAAAATGCTAAAAATTTACCTCATTTCAAAAGAATGTAAATTATAAAATACTAGAATATATTAGCAGGAGTCTCATAAATTTTTTTATGAGAGTTGTTTTTTGGGCTTCTTAATAAAACCATGCTTCATAAATTATATAAGAAGAGCTAATGGTCTCCCCATTGATCAGGCTTTCCTATAAAGTGGTAACTAATGTCTTCTATGTCCTTTCAGCCAATGGAGTTTGCCCTTTGGAAGGCATTGTGATTTAAGAAAGAACTGGGGCTTTTTAAGTTTTTCTTCATTTTTGTCCTACAAATTCCTCTTCAACTATCCATCTCACAGGATCTGAATTTGCTGGACATAGACATTGTGTTAGAATAAAGTTTAGTTATATTATGCCTGTCATAAAACCTAAAGCTTACATATGCTGGCTGTACAGCCCCACAATATAAGCCAATTGCTTGGTCCTGTGACATTCATCCCTAGAGGGCCCATGGCATTGTCTCTTTTATAAGTAGAGGAATAATAAAATTGACAATAATAAAAACTAATGTTCATGGAGCTCTTTCTCTGTGCCAGGCACAAAAGTAAGAACGTTACATTCATTATCTCACTTAATCCACCAAGTCTTAGATGCTGTCTAAAAGTCCCTACTAACCATATCAGAAAATGTTTTCCAAAGCTTTTCAGTTTTATGGTACTTTGAAAGATGTGAAAATGTTTCCATTGTTTAGAATCATATTCCCTTGGGGAATACATATTTCAGCATGATATAAATAGGCTTATTCTTTCTCCATACTCAAGTTTGAATGGAGGAAAATATTGATGGAAAAGGTAGCTATCGGGAAAGACTTAAGAAGCTGAGGGTTATAGCTACACTGTACAGCTGAGAGTGATCAGACTGCTTGTAGTTCTATTATGTCTGGGAGCTTTTCTCTATTCTAGTCTTGGAATCACTTTTCTTCTCTTTTTGTCTGCCTCATTACACTGGGGACACGCATGGGGTATTTCCAGACAGTTCACTTATCTTTGGCAAAATAGCATGTGAGCACTTCCCTGATTGATACCAGGAGCTGTTCCCAGGCATCTGAAAATTCTGAATAGACAGGAAATAGATCAAGAGAGTAGCTTGGATATGAGTCAGGTGATATTATTAGTTGTATGGGAAGAGGATGACCTTGAAGATCTTTTTCAGTTCTGAACTTTTATTACGAGATGTATATTTTGGCAGAGATCCTCTTAGATGTTACCTTTTAGATGTTAACATTAAATACATTGGCTGGTATTATCACATCATTCCCTAATTTTATCAAAGTCCTGTGGTTTTAATAGATGCTTATAGGTACAAAAGAGTAAAGATGAATCAGAGGGAGAAAAGAGAGAGAGATGAAAAGATGAGAGCTTGGGCCAAATGATGTTAAGGAATTAGGTGGGTCCTTTCTACATTACTTGCTGATTTTTTTTTTTTTTTTGAGTTGGAGTCTCACTCTGTCGCCCAGACTGGAGTGCAGTGGCCGCTCCCGGCCACCGCAGCCTCGACCTGCTGGGCTCCGGCGATCCTTCCGCCTCAGCCTTCCGAGTAGCTGGAATTACAGGCGCACGCTACCACGCCCGGCTGATTTTTTGATTTTATTGTAGAGATGAGGTCTCGCCTGCCCAGGCGGGTCTCGAACCCGCGGGCTCAGGCAATCCACTCACCTCAGCCTCCCAAAGGCGTGGGATTACAGGCTGAGCCACTGAACCCGGCTACTTGCTGATTTTATATTTTACTTTTTCCTCAGCTTTATTGAGGTATACTTGGCAAAGAAATTTGTTTATATTCAAAGTGTACATAATGATTTTATATATATACTTTGTGAACTAACAAGTTAGTTGACACATTCATCACCTCACATAGTTACCTTTTGTGGGGGTGGTGAGAACACTTAAGATCTACTCTTCTAGCAAATCTCAAATATACAATACTACGTTATTTACTGTAACTACCATACTGTACATTAGATCTTCAGAATTTATTCATCTTACAGCTGAAAGTTATTTGTTGATCAAAAAAAGAAAAAAAAAAAAAAACAACGGAGGGGTATTTCCAGTGTCATTCTCCTCAAAATTGCATTTCTCCTTATGTTCATGTTCATTCCACAATCTCTCTGCTCTGGTGACTCACAGTAGCACTGGATTCTGGCAGGTGTCACCCAGGACTCCCTTCCTCCTCATTCCTGTTAGTATTCAGCAGTGGCTTATGAAGTGAACGAGGGTGGTGAGAGGTTGGACAGGTATAGTCAATAGAAGGGTACATTACCTGTAGAGAATTTCCAAATGATAGTAAAGCTAAAGGTTGATCTGCTTTTCATTGTCCCTGTCCATACACAGGGACAATGCTGAACAATGCCAATGACAAAATACTTCTCTTCATAGGAAGTTCCTATTGTCTCCCCCACCAACCTCTATCCCCTATGCCACTGCATTTTGGTAACGAAAGCTTAACTTCTTTTGGGAACAAAGATACAGACCTTGCTGTCCACCATGATATTCTTAGAAATCTAATAGCCTTTCTTTCTTTCTTTTGTGTCTGTTTTTAGGCAAGGAAACAGTTACTGTTCTTCCAGGAGCCTCTTTTTTCTCCAGCGATGAATCATTTGCAATGATTAGAGGGTAGGTAATAACAGAGCCCCTCATGTTTCACACCGTATGGAATGAACTGAGTCATCCCCTGAGTGTGTTAGCAAGGTTCTGAAACTCAGCCACATTTACCAGCCAGAAAGCTATCATGGACTTGTTTGGCTGCAAGAAGATATGAAATTATTCACATTGAATGTTGAGTGTTGCAATATCCAGCCCACTATTCTGAAAAGAACCCCCCAAATGGAATAGATCTTTTTGTGCCAATTAGACAGAAGTATACAATTTTAAGGTCCTTTCTGAGGTTACTAACATTTTCTTCAAGCTGTGTTCACTTTCCAGCTAGTGTTTGTCTTCAAATCTAGTCACATTCACCTCACTGAAGAAAATGGTCTCACTGTATACACCTGTTTATAATTTGTTTTTGGAGACAATATAGGCTATAATTTTTTTTTTAAAGAACTCTTAGTTGTTATTTCTCTGAATCAGCTTGGAGCTGATCTATTTGGAAACTGGTTGTGAGGGAAAGCAAATGTATTTGGGGATATGGAATGATTTTAATTGCTGGGAATTTTCAAGTAAAGGGGACCTAAGCTTGTGAGGTTTGCTTTATATTTACTCTTTTTATTTATCAGGGGACATGTCAATCTAACAATGCTAGGAGCAATGCAGGTTTCTAAATATGGTGACCTGGCTAACTGGATGATACCTGTAAGTAGACATTTTTTCTTCTGAATTATCCTTGGTCAGAATAATTATTTTTGAAATATTAAGAAAAAATGCCTTGTCAAATTGCTATGAGGGCAAATTTTAATTATTTTAAAAATGGAAATGTGTTTTAATATGGATTTCTTGTTTGAATCACATTTTAATTAAGTAAGCACCGAGAAGTATTCAGCTTTGCCTGTTTACTAAGTAGTTGTGACTAAAAATAGGAAAGGTAAAGTCCAAAATGTTTTTCTTAGAAGAAACAGAGTTGGGGAAGGTAAATAAATAAGTTAGTTAGTTACACTTTGATGAAATACAAATATTTATTATAACTAAAGTTTTATACTAGAATGAACAATTAACATCTTTATCAATTTTGTTAATTCTATTATTTTCTTATTCACAGTGATTGAAATCCTCTCTTGATTGGTCAAGTGACCTCATAAATAATCCCATTGTTTTCTATTATGACATGCAAAAATATGATAGCTAAACATGCTTGTGAAATATATTTTTCATTTTAAAAAATGACCTAAATCAAGGAAGAAACTTCTTAGAATTAACTTTGACAAAAAGACTGCTATCAGTAACTTAATTCATGAGTGTAGTTCATTATAGTCTAGGTTATTGCTTCCTCATTATGTGCATGGAAGCAACAATGGATGTGTAACCATGATTATGAGCTCCTTTTGGTTGGTAGCCTAGGTGACTCTTTTTATATGTGTGTTTAAGGATTCCCGTGCATTTCTCTATCGCACCAGCTAATAGGAATCTTGTCAAGTAACTAAGGCTGGTGTTCTGTGTTGTGACAGGTTTTTTTAATGTTAGATTCTTATATAATAATTTTTTGAGGAAGATGGATTAATATAGTTGGTAATAATGTTAGAGATTGTGTGCTAGTTCAGTTCTTTTAATCTAATACCACCTGAAATATTACTTTAAAATTTTAATTATTATGAAAACTCTGGTTCTCAAACTTAGTTGCATATTGGAATCACCTCAGAGTTTTAAAATGGGCAGTTCAAAGCAACACAGGTTATTTTAATATGTGACCAAGTTTGAGAACCTGTGTATTAAAAAATGATCACAATTTATTCATACTTCAAAGGTAAGAGCAAAATGCCCCTGAGTCATCATAGTAAGAACTCTTAGCAAATTGATGGATTATGTTATTTCAGTTGTAAAAATATTGGTTATTCCAAATCAGCTATACTAATATGGGTTGGTGGCTTTTGGAAGCTTCAAAGAATCAAAGAGGGTCTTTTGAGCCTTGTCAGATTGAGTTTATAGAAATACTTATTTGTGTAGGAAACCAGAATGAATTTCTACTTTCAAGTTTTTATAAAAGTTTTTATGGGGTAGTAGAAGGAACATAGGAAAGCAAGCCCTAGTTTTTAGCCCTGATTCTATCAGTGATCAAGGTATGGCCTTGAAGATATATCACTTAAATATTTTGAGTTAAAACATCCTCATCCATAAAATGAGAGTTTTAGACTAAATGATTTCAGGGGTCCTGTGTGGCTCCTGTAGCTTAATGATTTTGAGCAAGGGCCCTGTTGTGAGATAGACCTGAATTGAAATCCTGTTTTTGTCACTTGCTAGTAGTGTAACTGCAACCAGGTGTCTACTTTTCTTCATCTGTAAAATGGGAATGATATAATAGTTTCTACTTTATAGGCCTGTATAAAGGAATAAATGATATAATGCATACAAAGTATAACACAGAGCTTGACACATAGCAATGGTAAATAAAAATGCATTAGGTTATGATAAGGTAAGAAGAAGTTACAGATGCTTGACAATGAAGGGTATAGCATTGGGTACTGTGAACAGAAGTAATAGGGTTTTAAATATGTCTATTTCTCTGGACTAAAGATTTTTGAAATCAATTTGCACAGTGGTCCTGGGTATGGCACAGAAATATGTTCAACATGTTCTTCCCTTCAGAGAACTTGAACATCTTTAAAAAGTCAGCATAAGACTTATTTATATTATGATTTAGTACACAGTGAGGCTGGAAGCTCTCATAGTGACAGTGTGCAGTATGTGTTTATCATTTATAGGAAAGAGTTTCCAATGTGTATCATAGCTTTACATATCCTGTTTAGATTTTTGTGAATGAATAAAACATGTTTATTACTTTATGAGTTTCTTAATATAATTTTGAGCCCATGAGTTTCCAAAGGAATGGACCTAGTTGGATGGTGATGAGGAATTCTGGAATTCTGTAGAAACATCATGGAAAATATAGTTGAGAAATATTAAGCATGAACGTCTTCTTGGGTTCGGTTCCACTGTTTTGATAAAGGAAGTTGATAGAATTATTTCTTACTAGCATTTCTTTTGTTGCTTTAGTAACTGGTAATCACCTCCTGACTTTTAATGTAATGCAAAGTGTATATTTTTATACTTTGGGACTCAGGACAGCTTCAGAATTAAGGCCATGAGGTTTAGTTTGGAAGAGATCTAGTTTGAATTTCAGCTCTACCTCTTACAAATTATATGATGTGTAACAAATGTTTTTGCTAGGATTTAGTGAAAAGAAAATGAAAAGTGAGCACTGCTAGTAGTCCCTAAGTAGTGGTTATTATTTTCATTTTTATAAATGTTCTATTACTTAACATTAAAGATAAAATATTGACCTTAAAATACACTGGCATAAGCAAGACAATTTTACAGGGGTCAGTACAACCTACTTATCCTAAGTTCATATTTAAGTCCAAAATTAAACTCTTTGAGGACATGTTCCTTGCTTTAATTGGTTATGTATAAGATATAGCTTACCCTCCTTATGTAGTTTCCATATGCAATCTACTTTTATTTGTCCCAAAGATTTATGTTGACTTACATAATTTAGATATATTTTTATTGAAAGATTTGGCAGTCAAAAAGCTGCAAAGTTCAGCTTTATTATATCATTTTTCACTTACTTTTATCTTTTCACTGAGTGTAATAATCTTTCAGTGGTTGTATGGGCCTTGAAATCTCAACATCACGACACCATCATCAATCATTACAGCATCAGATTACAATAAACATTAAGCCTTTAAGGCAGGCAGATGGTATGGATGCTATCTGTCTTACCCTTGAATAGCTTTATAGTATGCAGCGTTGGTCTCATATACGTAGATTTTTAATAATTCTACCCTGAGCATCCAAAGTGGGAAAATTTGATAAAACCATAGTTGACTCCTTCAAGCTTCCTGCTTATTGTGATGATGAAAAAATCTTAGGCAAGCTCATAAAAGGTGAAAAGATGTGCAGTCTATTGAATCTACATTCAGAACTGCTCTGGTGCTTTCCTTATGCCTATTTTTGGAAAACAGCTGGCATTGATTATTGACTTATGAAGGGAAGCAGATGTTTATGATCAGCTATGAGAGCTGGTTATTGAAAGCTCAAAATAGCAGCCCCCTGGAAATGGTTTGGTACGTGAGTGGTACAAGAGCCAAGAGCCCTCTCTATGTAGAGAGAGTTGAAGGAGGCATTCTTAAGACAAAGGAGAATGAGACTATTTCTTGGTGTTTGTTTTTTCCTCACATCTTTTATTTCTTCATGCATTTGGAAAGAATAAGTACAAATTAATGTCTGTACTCATGCATGCTACATGTCTGAGTGCATAAAATTGATTGGGCCCATTATATATACTGTTTGTTTTAAATAAGCTAAGTCTGTAGTGTTTCTAGTTGCAGAACTAAAGGGGTTTGTGTTCAAGATTCAGTCTATTTGTTTAGTTGTATCAGTTGCATTCCAAATATTAAATCAATAGATATATAGAAAGAGATATAAAAATTGTGACATAGATGAATATATAAACAGAAAGATCTAGATACAGTTGTAACATATTGGGTATTGTTCACTTGGTCCTGAGGCTCAGGAAAGTTCAACTTGTGAGTAAGAAGAAAGGACAGGTGGCACTTCATTAGGTAGTATAAAGGCTTTTACAATTATTTAGTAATGCTTTTAGCTTATTAATGTAATATAGTAGAAAGCTCACTTGGAATTAGACAGACTTGAGCTTAAATATTGGTTATTTCACTTATTGTTGATGTAGCACATTATTACCTCTTATTGTATTCATTTGTAAAATAATTTTTTAATTCATGTGCTTGTTCAGGGGATTAAATTAGTTCATTCATTCAACAAGTATTGATTAGACTTGTATTGAGGGCTATATACTAGCTTTTTGGGAGGTTGCAACAATGAACAAAACTGACATAATTCTCTGCATTTATGAAGCTGATATTCCAATATCGGTCAGAAAACTGGCCCATGAACCAAATCTAGCCTACTGCCTGTTTTTTAAACATAAAGTTTTATTGGAATATAGCCACAAGCAATTATTTAAATATTGGGTTGTTGTTTTTTTTCCCCATCAATAAGAAATATACTTGTTTTAAAAAAAAATCCAAATGCTGGCATTGTCCAGAAAAATTTAACAGATCTATTTATAATTGTTATAAAGTTGAGCCCCTGAATCTTGTTCACTGAAACATTTTGACGTGCATAATGCTTTACATCCCCGCTTTTATATTAAAAAATTCACACACAAATGAAAATGGAAAAACTGCCAATACCTGATTTCTGTCCCCTAGTTTTCCATTCGTAGTCATATACTTAGGTACCTTTTGGCCCCATGGGGCGGGTGGTAGGGGGGTGGGGGATTCTACTGTTCAGAACTCCCAATAACAGAAGAAGAGAATTTTTTCTTTTTTGAGAATGAAATGGTTCCCATTATAGTGGATTTAAACACGCTCTCCATGTATGTGGCGTGATAGCTGCATGTCTTTTTGAATAATTGTTACACGTTTGGCATGGAAAGCACACAGGCTAGTGTCTTCAAAAAGGCCAACTGGATAGGCCTCACTTGCCTCCTGCAAAGCACCAATAGGTCTGCGCTCTGGAAACGCAGATCTGTTTTGAAGTCCTGAGCAATTTCTCGCACCAGACACTGAAAAGGAAGTTTTCGAATCAGAAGTTCAGCGGACTTCTGATAACGTCTA